ATCTTTCAGTCCTAATTTGAGCTTAAATTTTTTTTTCTCAGTGCAGAGAATCGCTTCGAAATTTTAAGTTATAATTTTGAGCGAATAAAGCAAGTGAGCAGGCTTGACTTAGGAGAAAATTCTAGATCCGCGCCTGATCAGAAGATCGGTTTTTCTTTGAGCCGGTAAAGTTTAATTCTTTCAAGTAAAATAAGGTTTTAGTGCCTTCTTGGGAATATTTTTAAGTTTGAAAATTTTTTTAAATAATTTTTTCCTTTTTTGTTTAACGACAAAAACGAGTCGAATAAGCAGAATTTATTATAACTATCAAATTTGCCTAAGCTCTAGGTTTCTGTTCACATCTTCTCATCACATCATGGACAAGAAATGATATTGTTTAAAAAACGTCTTTTCAGTTTTCTGTGTTCAGAACAATTTGAAATTTTTCTAGCATTTTTGCTGTTATGCTTTTTTTGTGGTTGAAACAGTCTGTTGACAATGGTTTCAATAGAAACTTTGAGCATTGCAAATTCAATCTCACTTTTGGAAAATATCTACGAAGACTATAACCTGTTTAGAAAAAACGTTGACAGAATAAAAGTTTCATTTAACGAGACTAAAAGCTAGTTAATGCTGGGCGCGCTTGTATCGGAGCAATGGCAAACCTCAGATATATCAAACATTCGAATTATTTACACGTTCGACAGCAAGTGTCTTGTTATCAGGAACTAGACTTTTTCCCTTCAACAACCTCTTTTTTTTTTACAAACCTGTAAGAAATTGAACATGTTTTATGATTGATTATAAACAACTTCAGAATTCTTCTCATTTGTTTTAGAGGTAACGCGGTTGCTTTTCCCCTATGGGCTCGGTTTTTTTCAGTGTTTTTGAAATTGAATTTACGCAGGAACTGAAATTATTTTTTTTGGCTGGAAAAATTGAATGGTCGGGAATTCATATGCCTGCTTATGTTTTGTGCGCTTAGTTGCCACGCCACATCACTTATGAACTGTAAGCAATTTTCATTGTAGTTGCAAAGGTTGTTGATTCTTTCCTGTAAATTTGTAATTTTGTTTTTCTGTAATTTGTAAACCCTGACTTTTCGCATAAAAGCTTTGTTCGGCCTGAATGGTTCCGGCGTAAGTTTTGTTGGTTAATCAATTTCTTTTGTGTCGTTTGATAGGTAAAATTGATTATTTTTGTAAATTATGCAGTATATGCTAAAAGCTTATTTAACGTTGGTGGTTGTGTTTCTCATCTTTTCTGAAACTGATTACCTGCTCTAATTTTCAGTCCACTTTGGGGCAGATTTATGTTTTTTTTTTCGAGGGAAGGGCGGTTTCTTAAAAAATTTCGACAATTTTGTCGACCTTTTTTTAGGTCGACCAAATTTGTTTTTGAGCTCTCCTAAAATGATTATGAAGGACCCCATCTGGACAAAAATCTCTACGCCGCCGGCAAAATTTTGAAAAACACGCCAAAACAAGCGTTTTCAGTCACTTTTGGGAAAGTTTTGACCAAAAAATCGTGTTTTTTTTTGCGCGCGCTCCCCCCCCCCCTCAAAATTAGTATATATTGGCGCCTTTAGAAAAATTTTAGGGTCTGTCACCGAAAAATGGATATCTCAAAATAGTACAAAGGGGCGACCCTTTGGGTCGGCAAGGGGTCGAATTCCCGGGGGGGGGGGGGGGGGGGGGGCTAAATCCGCTGGCGAGTCCACCCTCTGTTCGAGACTGCGGCCGTCTTTGTTAATTTCGACAATACATCTTTTAGGCGAACGGAGGAAATAAGAGTTTTACCCCAATTCTTGAAAATGTTGGATATTTGCCATAAAATTGTTTCGGATGTTTGCAACACTGTTTGGTTTTTCGGATGTTTGCACCGTCGGCGCTTGTATCGTAGTGGACTAGCTTATGTAAAGTGTTTTATGATGAGCCCATAATGTGATAATTTTTGTTTGTCAGTGTCTGAAGACGACTAACCCTCGTTTGCTGAAAACTGGAGTCTTGTCTGTTAAAATTAAAAGACTTGGGTACAAAAGTTCAGTGAGAGTTCCCAAATCGTCATTTGATATCTTCCGAAAGCACATGCTCTTTTCTACTGCTTCGGTCTGAGTTGACATTTATCCTTCCACTCACACGCTTGCATCTTCATGGTATATATCTTAGGTTTGCCGGATCTCTTAAACTATTTTCCCCACCATTTTGTTATGTAATAGAGGGGATTCATTATTGGGTTCTAAATTCACATATGCTATATGCTGTGGAAATATTCGTTAGTAGGTAGCATGGGGGTAGGGTTATAATTACCCTTGCGATAAGCAGGGGCTTTGCAATCGGGTACTAGACTTTTTCCCGTAAATAACTTTGTTCACAGAGTAGTCAAAATTAGTAATGGTCAATTTAAGTTCAGTTCATAAATTCAAATTTCTTTGCGTGTACGGCACACTTGGTCTGAAGGTAACTAATACGCCTGGGATGGCAAACGTTCTGAGTTTGAATCTAACAGGACCTTTTTTTCAAACGAGAAATATTCCGCTCAAAAAATATCGGCTGTTTATTTGTCTGCTTACGTTTTATCGGCTTAGTTGCCACATCGTAGAATTGTTTTTTTTTGTCAACAGGACTCATTTGGACTCGTGGTACCTTGGTTCATAATGAATTCAAATTTCTAGTGTCTTCTGTACATTCAGCCTGGAGGTAACGAATACGCCTGGGACGGCAGAGGTCTTGGGTTGGAATCTGACTAGAACATGTTTTTTTTTCAAACGGTAAATATTCCGGTTAAAAAAAATTTCGGCCTATTATTTGTCTGCTTATGTTTTGTCGGCTTAGTTGCCACATCTAAGATTTTCTTTGCTGTAAACAGCTTTCACTGCAGTTGTTTTAAGTGTTTTAGTATTTGAAAAATCCGGTCAAATTGAAATTTGATTTTATAACTGGTCGTAATTTTACGATTTGTCATTTTTTCTTTTTTTTTGTTTTTTATCGGGTAACTCGAGTTGTCATTTTTTTTCCCATTTTTAGTCTTTTTATCGGGTTAAAAAGTTTAGACTGTTTTTTTTATTTGCTTGCGTTCATTACTCTTTTCCAATCTTCAATCGGCTATGTTTATTAGTTTAGATTTTTTGCATTTTTTTTGCAATGAAAGGTTTCTGCTCAGGTTTTTTCGGCTTTGTTTCCGCTTGGTAATTATGAATTCAAAATAAATCAACCATCTGGCGTAGAGGTGACAAAGCTGCTTGAGACTGCTTTTATAGTGATATTTTTTATTGACAAAAACGATTTTTAAAGACTTTTCCGTGTGATCGCAAGTGGTGCGAAACTTAGCTTTGGATTTCGTATATTCTCTTTTTTTAATTACCCTTGGGATAAGCAAGGGTATTGCAATCCGGTACTGGGAAAAGCAAGGGTATTGCAATCGGGTACTAAGACTTTTTTCCCATAAACACCTTCGTCCACAAGATCTGCATTTCTAGAGGATCTTCACTTTTAGAGAAAGATACTTAAGTAGTATGTTCCTCTATAAGATACCTAACTAGTAATTAGTTCGAACCCGTTTTAGTTTGTAATTATGTTCTCAAAAAGTTTCTCAGTTTTTTCGGGTTCGTGGTTTTTGTCCTAGTTTCTGTCGGTTCATTTTCCGTTAAACACATTTTTTTTATCTGGAAAGGTTTTGTTGGCTTACTTTTCAAAGCATGAGTTTTGTTCCAATTTAAACAGTTTTTACTGTAACTGGAACTTCAAAAATTTGTAAATTCATTTACCAGGTCTGATTTTTTTCCAGTTTATGTTTTATCGACCTAGTCAACTTATCTTGCATAATTTTGAGAGCAAAATATATCAGTTTGGGATAAGGTATTTCAGTTCGGATGGGTCGTAAACACTGTTTATGACAACAGTTTTGTTTTCGGCTCAACAGGTTTCGACCCAAAGTGTGTCGCCTTTGTTGCCGTTCGGTAAATGATTTCCATTTGTAAAGGCCTGTTTATGAACTTCATCCGGTGCAAATATGAAGTTTTGTAGCTTTAATTTTTCAGCTATTGTCAAGTTATTCTTTCTAGTAATTTTTTCCAACATAATTCTTAAGAAATATTTTTTGATTTCAGTCTTTTTTCCTTCACTACGTTTCAGCGCAATCTGTTTTTTTTTTTTTGCATCGCAAGTGTTGCTTCGCCTGTGTAAAAACTTTATTTTGCTCAATTGATTTCGACTTATATTTTATTGGTTTAGTGACCTAATTGAGTCGTTTCATTGGAAACATATATTTTATGCTGACCTCTAGATTGCGCAAATTTTGATAGTGAGTATGTTTTGATAGTGAGGGGAACTTAATAATTTTTTTATTAGCCTGAAGTTTTTTTTTGGCTTTTTTAATATTATTTTCGTTTTTTTTTTCGGCTTAATATGTTTCAGCCTATAATATATCGGCTTAGTGGCCTGATGTTTGTTGCTTCATTGGACGAGCAAATAAAGTTTTGTGTATAAGTGTTTTGAGGTTGAGAGAGAGAGAGAGAGAGAGAGAGAGTTATTTTTTAAATTCTTATCAAGTTTTATTGATTCTTTTTCGGCTTAAAAGGTTTGTATTTTCAACTTTGATACCGCTTGGTAAATTTTTTTCCGATGCTTATTCCACATTATATTATCTTGACATGTTTTTGTTTCAGAGTTAGCCTTATTCCTTTTGATAGATATAGTATTTTTTGACATCTTCGATTTTTTGCTGACTTTCTTGTTTTATATGTTTGTTAAAGAGATCTGAGTTGCGGTTTGATAAAAATTTTTATGACGAAAAATTTTGTTGCATGATAAGGTGATATAAAAGATTTAGCGCTGAAAGAGGCGCGTTCGATGGACTTCTGAAGCGTTGAATTTGCGTCATTTTCATTTTGTTGTGACGGAGTGTTTCAAGATTTAGAAGCACTGAATCGCATAATTCGTTCAAATTACCTTCGTCACTGTATGGCTTGTAAAATGTGTGGAATAATCCATGAATGAATTAGAGAGAGCTAGCTATCTGAAACTAAATAGTAGCTACTGTAGATCTGCTGTATTTCTATGCATATTTGAGTTCAGTACCGAAACTAACACCAGGTTCATTGAAGGCTCCAAAATGTATCATTATACTGTAGTGTAGTTGTCGTTTCAGTTCTCCTAACCTCTTTTCGATTTGACAAACTAAATAAAACGAGAAAAGAGGAACGAAATTCGGTTACGGCACATTAACATATGGTAAATTTTAAATTTGTTTCCTGTTTCAACCGCGTTTATTTTCCATACAGTTTTTGATGGTATATTGTGCTCACTTATAGTGGAGCAAGTAAACTGTCTGCTTTTTTCTTTCGTTTAGTGGCTCGTTATTATTTGGTTCGCCGCGTATATTTCCACCGGCAGACACTCTTATAGTTCACACAACGCTCTTGTAGTAACTCAACAGTCCTTTCCTAACTGTTGAACTGAATTTATCCAATAGAATTGAGTCCATTTCTCAGTTTAACGCTACAGTTTTAATAGATATAAAAAAGAAGCGTGACATTTTCCGTTTTTTTTAGAGATTTATTGCTATGACGGAGAACTATAATCTGGGTCTTCGAATAATCTAATTGTACTGATTAAATTGCTAATTACACAGCAGCTATCTTGCCAGAAGACAACCAAAAAAAGTTTTATGATTCGTGGAAACAACCAAGAAATAATGAACTCACACAAGCACTTGAAAATGTCGAATTTAAACAACTTTTCGGAATCGGTGAACGATGAGATATCGGCAAACATGAGTTCGAATCACTCTACTCACCGGAAGCCTCACTCAAGGCACCACCGACACTCGACTACTAGTAAACACCTCAGTCCGAAAGGTATGAGGCACAAACCCACCAAAAGTGGTTCCTATAGTTACAACAACCGTTCAAAAAACAGCAATGACTCGAACATGTGCGATCCTGGAAAAGGTTCCCCACCCCCGAAGCTGCTCAAAATGTCCCATCAGCATAGGAACTCCTACAACAACGACGATGGAATTGATTCCACCGGATCGTCCTCTCCAGGTGATCAAGACAATGGACAGAAGATTTTCAGTCGTGGTAACTCTGCCGCAAGCTTGAGATCCATGAACAACTCGGACTGTTCGACAAGTCCAGAAAGCTTATCGTGCAAAAATGATTCGAATCGCAGATACAGCAAGGGATCCTCGGGGTCGACGTCAGGAATAGGGTCGATGTCTTCGGGAGCATCCGACTCGTCCCCTAGTTCATTTTTCTACGGCGACAAAGAGCGGGAGAGGTCGTATGGCGAAAGTACAGATCCAGGTTCGAACGGCAGCTCCCCGATGCCATCGGTTCAATCCAACAGTCTCCAGGCATCATTTCAGTCCTCCTTATCAACTGTGCATGAGTTTAAAAACGAGGTTCAGCATGATGTCGGCCATTCTCACTTCAAAGGCGACCAGAAAAATCTGGGTCAGATGCAGGCGCATGATAAGTCGTGTTTAGTCTGCGGCGACAAAGCTACAGGTTTGCTAGTTTTCCTTTTAGAAATAGTTCTCGCAGGAATTTCAGTACAAACTTGTTAAAAATTTTGCTACAACTGTTGAAATATTTTGCCTAAAAGGCTATAATGATTTAAGAGCGGTTGATAAAGCATTGTGAAATATCCTTTGACACTATGCGATCCGAGATTCTGCCGCTTTTTATTGACTGTATATCAATAAAACTGTAAAAGGTGAATTGCTCTTTTTGATGGACATTAAAGGATGAATAGTTCTTTTGAGTTTTGTCTGTAAATTTTCTCTGTTTATCTTGGCTCTTGAAGGGTTCCATTCACATACTGTACTACTTATTATGTTCAGTTTTATTTTCTGTTTGATTGAGAGTCTTAAGGGTTTTAATATCTACTTGTGTTTTGTACTTAGTCAATGGTCTGAGTGGCCGTTTCAGGGTACCACTTTAACGCTTTAACGTGCGAGGGCTGCAAGGGCTTCTTCCGCCGCAATTCACAGAAGCTAGATGAGCTCAAGTGTTCCTTCAGCAGCAACTGCAAGATCACCAAGGTCACCCGAAGACACTGTCAGTCCTGCAGGCTCAACAAGTGCTTCAAAGTCGGAATGCTCACAGAATGTAAGTTGCATTTTTACGAGTTAGGCAGCCAGAGAGCAAACAGAGAAACACATTACTTATGCTTAATTAAGCTATGTATGACTCACTTGCAAGAGCTCACCTGGCAAATAGTAGTGCTTATTTGAATTTTGAAAGAGCAACAGTATGATTGCCAGCAACCTTTTTCGCCAAAAGGTCAATTTATATATCTTACCTGGGATAATCTTAGGATATTCGGTGTTGTTAACACAGCCAGTGCGGGCGCGATATCTGAAGCGAAAATGTAGTTGTGTTTTTGCTATAAATTGATTTAATTTGATGCTTAATTAGATGGTGGAAATCTAAAATGGCAATTAAAAGGCTTAGTAATATACTGAGTGGACTAATCGTGTTGTGATTTGTTTAAACTTGGGACGGTTAAACCGACTTGAGAGCTTCAGAGTCCGTTTGTATTTCTTTAACTTCGCCTGATCTCATTACCTCAAGTAATCCCGACTCAGATACCTCGAACCAACCGCACAGCCTGTAGTTTAACAAAATAACGGTTATCTCCCAGGAATGTTTAACACTCCCCTTCAACAATGAGCTCTTTGACCATTTTTGTTTTTGACTCTAGCTAGTTTTTGCTAGTTTCTAATTATGTCAATTTACTGGCTGACAGTTTTGGTCATTATTCGCTTGAAGGGAATATGATTAATTGTTAGCATAAGTAGGATTTCTGTCACACAATTTTAGGACCGGTAGATCAACGGTTCTGTGGTCAAAGTATGATTTGGTTTGATTGCGACTTTCATTGTATTATTTTCATCAACGTTTAATTGTTTAGAAATTTCTTTTTAAGATCGCAAACTTTTTATTTTTACTTGTAAGATATTGAGTCCATTTATCCATGTAGAGAAAGAAAGCCAACATACAAGTTAAGTTGTTCAGCTCGTTAAGTTGTTCAGCTCGTTAAGGAGAACCGTTTTTGTACCCCTTCTTAAGAATGCATGCAATTTTTCTGGTTATTTTTCTGGGCTGGTAATTGTTGCTCCACCCACAGGCAACGAGCACGGTTCATGGTGGGTCTCGAACCACTGATCTTCTGATTGAGAGACTGAAACCTAAGCTAATTCGCCTCCACTATTTATATCAAGTGTGTGATTTTAATTGGTTGGTATGATGACAGGTATAATGACAGAGGAGCAGAAAGTGGTGCGCAAGATGAAAAACACAGACAAGCACCAAGCTGCACAGCAAGAAGCGAACAATGTCAACTATGCCCCAAACACACTTCTAACATCACCCTCCATTTCAGCAGACAACAAGTTAGTCAGAACCTCTAAGCCATATTCTCATTATTAATGTTTTTTTTTTCGAAAATCTTTTCTCATTATAGCGCCTCCCAGGCTAGTCCTAAAAATTTATCACTACACAACACTATGATTTTTTTATGATGGGCGATTTACTCAAAAATGCTAATTTTCCAAAAATCGCCTCCGCCGTAAAAGATTTTTTTATGGCTGACACTGCGGCGGAATGACTGGCCCAAATAAAAGAGATGACAAATCTTTTCAAAAAACCGCCCGGTCAAAAAAATGAATGCCTTTGCCACTGACCCAAATCAAATTGATCTTATGATTGATCTTCTGATGCAGGTATTCGCCAATGCTGAGTCCGTCTCAGCATCGCTCCAGGTCCAACAGTGTGTCTGTGAGCGATGGGGGGTTCAACATGCAGCAGACTCAGGGGGGTTGCCAATTGGGCAGTTATATGCCCCCCAACCAAGAACAGCTGGCTTTGATGGAGGAACTGAGCATAGAGTATCATAATCTGTACAGCAAGAGAGCCACTGTTGAAGACGTTATCAGCAATGTGCCAGTGAGTTTTTTTAGGAAAAAAGTGGGAAATTGAGTAGTGAGCTTGTGGATTTTTTTTTGCTTGGACTAGAATGATCATCCGGTGTTTTTTATCAGTTTCATATTTTGTTAGTTTTGAACTGAATAACATAAATGAGTTTTTCATTAAGGAATTATGGCAAATTGGTTTTATTTCTTCTAAATTAGTTTTTTATTTAGTTTTGAGTTTGCCTGTAACTTAATTTTAAATGAAAAATTAATTCCGTTTTGAGCTTCCGCGTCCATGTTTTCAACAACAGTGTAAAATATGGATGCTCAATAATAAACAGGTGATCTTCAGTTAACCAGGGCTCAGATAAATCCCCAGAGATTTTCAGGCGCTTAAATAATGTGAATGGCTTGTTTAAGCCGTTATTTAAAATTTGATTGAACGAAGTCAGTCTTCGCCTAATTAGCTGTTGTGGTTGGTTTCTAGGAAGTTTGTTCACGCCTGTTTTTTTCTGGGGAGCACAAATTGTGCTTTCCAAGAACTTATGTGGAAATAACGCGCAACTGAGACACTTGACTTCTGTTTTCAAATATGGATTTAAATTTTAGAATCCCCTTTGGACGTTCACGCGTTTTTGTTGTGCTATTTTTTATCTTAGCGCATTGGTACTTCGAGCTTTTACCGAACTTTACTTTAAGCGGGTGCTTTTGTTTTTATTTTTTTTTTGTGAATATTGAGAAAAAGAAATTGATTGCCTAGGTATATTTAATTGTACTCCCACTCCCACGCACAATTCGATTGTATCGGTTGACTTAATTCCATCGTAATCTTACCCTTGCGCAATCAATGACGAATTGCCTATATTTCCCAAACTGACAAAAATCGAACACCTACATACTGAATCCTTATCCCTCCCGTAAAACACCACATGAACCTACCTCTTCCCAAAAATATGGAAGTAGTTGTCATCTATGCAAACACCCCGGAAGAACAATATTCGATACTACCAACCCCCCATTCAAATAAAATCCTGTTTCAAAAGCCACAATGTGGGTCTCTTGACTTGATCGACCCTAACGAGTACATCGACAAGGGAGCCAAACTCCTTTTACACAAACTACTCGACCCACGAGTGGTTTCCATTTACATCGAAACTCTCCCCATTTCTAAAATACTCACCGAACTCCCCCACTCATCTCCGCAGTTGAATCGCCAGGCCCGGTTTAGTCTAGCTCAGCTACGCTCCGGATAAGCTCAGCTACGCTCCTTTTTTTCCCGACCTTAACATACTTGACCCAAGTGTCACTGACGAATGTCCAAAGTACTTCAACCCCCGCACGATACCAACCACTCTTTGAATGTCCACAAAACCCTACTACACTCACTACTCTTTCACTCTGGTCCAAACCTGTCGAGGCTTCTGCTTTCCTGAGGTTGGGGTTAGATCAGACTTAAAGCACATCAGTCAAGCTCGCTCCTGATGACCAGTGTTGACTCAACACTGGCTCATAGCTTCGGCTATGAAACCAAAACCGTTCCTCTGTCTGGTGTTCTGCAAATACGGTAGAGACGAAATTAGACACCAAAACAATAGCTTTGCTATCCTTTCCCCGTTGACGGCTTGCTGATTCACCGAAACAGGCGCCGCTACCAGAATCACTATACGTCTCAGTTACTGGAATCGGGGGCCGCCCTTCTAGCCAAAGGCACTCCGGCGTGGGCCGCATTGGAGACTTGGAAGAGACGACGAAAACTAAGACCTTTCCCTGGAAGTACTCAATAACCCTAAGAAATTAACCTTCTCTGAAGAAGTATTGAGCTCTAACGCACTAACCATTACAAACGATAATGAAGACGATTTATTACGAAAGCTGACCGAAATAACGAAAGTTTTTGCGCTGCCCCTCGACGAGGCAATTGCAACAACAAAATTAATTTCTTTTTTGAGGGAAAAAACAAAAAAAGCTACTGGGAGGAAAATGAAAGTCTAACTCGTTACTGGAAACCTCCAGCAATTAGTATCTATGCGTAAAGTAACCTTAATTTCTTGATGATTTTTGTCATGTTCAATTTTTTTTAAGTTCCTAATTTGGGAGTAAGAAGTTTTGACTTCCCGATAAAAATGATAAGGATCGGAGCATTCTGTGCTACGTGCACAGCAACCGACTATCCTTGCTCTGATAAAAAAGATACGAAGTAAAGATTCTTTAAAAATTGTTAAGATTCTTTAAAAGCTTTCGGTTTTTCATAATTTCCTGTTTTTTTTTCAAAGTTATGGTCATTTGAAATAGGTAAGAACTGCAAGAATGAGTTGTAATCATACCTAAAGTTGCGCAAAAATTGAATTAGAGCTAATTGTCCTCGAATTTAGAGTCGCCAAGCTCAGTACCATCAAGTCGGCATAAAAATTAAGAACATACTGAATTTTTTTGGGATTCAAGTCGTGACTGAAAGTGATTTAAAATCATATAACACTTGAATGACCTACAGGCTTTCGTTGAAAAAGTCAATGTGCCTGCCTTGGATAAAATAGCTTCCTACGCCAGTATTCTTTCCCAGTTCGTGAAGAGATCTGAACTGAACAGTAACTGGGTTTTTTCAATGACGGTTGTTTATGCAAATAATTTTCTATCAGCTAAAAAGCATCTCAGTAGCAAGGAAAAGCACTGAGTATTAGTTCAAAGACACGCAATTTAATTCAATTTTCAAATATGCCTTTAGAACAATCGGCAAGCTACATATTTGCTGCATCGTCACATTATCAATTGAACCAGAAATAAACAAGATTTGTTTGAGAACTAAATGCTTCTCGTGTTTCATTTCTTCAATGAGCCCGAAATAGATGTCAACATTCAGTTCAGTTTTTTCTGCAACATTTCCACTTTTTTTAATCAGTCCAACTTATATTCCTACTATTTTACTTTGCTACTTCAAAGGCTTCTTTTCTGTAAATAGCTTTAATTTGATTTAGTCTAGTTGATCGCGGAAACTTGGAGTGAATCTTTTGTTAGCAGTTTTGCTTTTTTCCCTTTAGAAGATAATTTAAGCGATTTTCAATCAATTATTAGAGGCAATCAAGAAGAAAATATTTTGAAAAAATGGTTTCAATTTGGTTGTTTTAACCGACCATTAGCTTAAGCTGAAATGTCATTTTCGTAAGTGCATTTACTAAATAACTCAAGCTATTTTCGTCCAGCGAAGTTTCCGCGCGGAAATCAAATTAACATCTCGTCTCTCAGTTTAGGGGTTACGATTTTCGAAAAACCCTAAGGACGTTAGAATTTGGTTAGTAATAGGTGTATATTAGTGTTTCCATTACTACATAACTAATGTAAAGGTCGTTCTAAGGTTCTCTTTTGCATTCAAAGATGCAAGTTATACTATTTGTGGCCGCTTAAGTGTTGTTTATATTGGGTTCATATCTAGTAAAATCGAGTTCTAAGACAACAATTTTTACGGTCAACTGCGCTGGTTCAGGCCCTGTTTGGTCAATCATGAGTCGGAATTGGTTCGACCTCTGTGGAAAATGGCAACTTGAGTTTCTCGTTAGCCTTCAACTGTAATTTTGTCCTCTGTTAGGCCAACACAGAGGTTAAAATGGTGCTGACAAACCGAAGTGGCTTTTCTGACAGTGTCTCAGCTATATTCTGTAAGTTGTTTGTAAACGTTGCATTTCAATGGAATAACATTCACTTTGGCTCATTTGAAGCAAAAATATGTGGTAATTCGAAGCCTCATTTGTAGCTGTGAATAGATTGCCTCCCAAATGGTTTATTCGTTAAATAAATATTAACATCGGTCGTTATAAAAAACAGCCTAAGTATAAGTTAGCCGAGAAAATAAAAGTGTTATGCAATGAGCGTAGAACGAAATATAATTATTCAAAAGTTCGTTTACGGAACAACGAGGAAGTGCTTATGTTCTGGGTCTATCAGGCCGAAGGCTTGGATTTGGAGGCCTTCAAGGATCCGTGCTCGTCATATGAAAGTGAGTCAACACCTACGAGTCCAAAAGATTAACAAAAAATCCGTAAAGTTGCTAGTTTGAAGCGACAGCATTTCTCCACGAAGACCTACACAGTTCTTATGCTGGTACTTTCTCGTCCTGGATTGGTTGTTTTATGATGACAGCGGTTTCAACGCAAATAACTGAATTTCGGCAAGTGTGCATATCGGCTTGGCTTTTGTTACATATTATCATGGTTGGTGTGGTATTTGGAATTGTTTCTAGCTGCAGATTATTTTATGGCTGGTCGTTAAAGGCAACGTATAAATTCTTTTGAGGTTATGTAAATTTGTGATCTAACATAGCTACTAGCTAGTTCTCGTGCCTCGGGTATTCAAGTACAATACGTTCAATGCTTTCAAAATGGAAGTCGGATTTTGTCAAAATTAAATGTGCAATTATAAGACAATTTTGGTGACGTGGTACTAGTAACATGCCTGTTTTTTGATAAACCACTAAATTTATTTTTTTAACGATCTCTGCGTTTTCGTTAGAGGTATTTTCGCTCGTTCTTGTTTGTTCAAACACGTTAGTCGGCATTGTAGTTCAATGGTTCTCTAATCATTTGAGCCAACGTTTGTAGTATAAACAGTTTATTGAATTTCATATTTTCATGCTGTGAAAGGAGTGTGTTAAAAATCATCGTCATTTTGACGTCTTTCTTTTTTTCATTTTGTTAGTTTTGTCTTTTAAAAAATTTTGTTCCCCTATAATTGAACAGCAGCTACTATTATCTTGAACGAAGTCAGAATTAATGAAACAGGAAGAAAGCGAAAATGTACTGATTTTCATTTAAATGTACTATGTAGCTGCGTTGTCTCAGTCCACGAGTCGAAAATGGTTCAAAATAAACGACGTTGAAGTACATTTGTTTTATTTGGGTAGACTTTCGCGCCGTTATATTGATTATAGGGCAGGATGGAGAATTTATTCATTATTTAAATGTCAGTGGTAAAGGTAACAATTGCACCCTAAATGGGTTTTGCATTTAGATGAAAAATGGGAAAAACATGCTCACAATTTTGCTGATAAGAGAAAACATTATCAGCATAATTTATTCGCTTAATGAAAGCAGAAAAATAGAGAGATAATGATCGATGGGTGCAATTTTCTAATTTATTTAGGCGGAGAAAGGTTCATTATTATAAATCAACTCCTGAAATATTATTTTATGGAGGACTTCAATGAAAGTTACTGTTCGGGGTAGATAGTGTTCAATTGGTGTTCTCATTTTATGGTTAGATAACAGAATAAATGATTTATTGAAGCAATTAATGATTTATTGAAAATATATTGAAAATCGTTTTCCATCCATTTTTCGCTCCAATATATTGAATATTAAGTAAAAATTGATAGCAAATATGACGCCCTCCTCGGAGTTAAAGTTCAAATGCTCACAGAGGCGTATTGTTTGATGCTGGGGTATTTGGTGCTTACAAATTTTTCAAATGTTGAGTTGGTCCATTCTAGGGATTAACTGTTGTACTTTTTAGGGTGGAAATTCTTTGCAAGGTAACAGCGAAGGTAGCTGACAAGATTTTGATATTTTTGCCTGCATTTCATTTCTCATGAGCTGTTGCTAATTTCATTTAAAAAATAATGATTTCTTTTTTTAGAGTCGATGAACGTTGCTCAGACTCTTATATAGGTCGAGATGATTTTTTTTCAGGAAAAGTCTTAAATTTTCAGCAAAAGTCAAGAAAACCCGATAGGCTTCTAGTTTCGAAAGCGGAATTTAATTTTCAGAATTCTATATAATTGTCCAGTGAAATAAAAATTTAACTTTATAATCCAGATTCCTCAAATTGGGTAAATTTTCATCAAAAAAGTGCCAATCATAAATTGTTCTTGAAATTCAAAAGGCGCTAAGGTCATCTATTTTTTGTTTTAAAGTTGAAGTTTTTTTTCGTCGAAAATTTAGTTGGTATCTTTTTCTGTTTCCTTGCGTTCTTTGACTCATTTCCAACTGTCTGTTGGCTATGTTTTAAATTAGAAATTTGTTAGGATTTTTTTTTGTCCGTTTTTGTAAGATTATCAACATTATTTTTCCCCGTTTAAAATGATATCAGAAAACATTCAAGCAAATCAATTTAAGGTATTCGAACTCAAATGTCACAACATTATCCTTAAAATGTCAACAATATTTTAGAGGAAATAAGACTGCTTGAATATTAGGACGGAGCCCTCAATGCTCCGACTGCACTTAAAGGGGCTCTTTTCTAGTTTCATACCCCCTCGTAAAATTACAAAATAAAAGTATTCAAAAATTGTTAACAGGGCGTTTTGCATGAAAGAAATGTGGGGCAAATTTGTTCACCTGGTCACTCTGACAGGTTGCATCGCAGTTTTTATCATCATAAATCATTTTAAGTTAACTTTTGTTCATTGAAGTTCAGAAAAAATCAAAGGGGGGACTGGAAAAGAGCCCTTAAAGGTCATTTAAAAAGTTTTTTGGTTGAATAATTGAGGAAATAATCGAATGAAAGACTGGATCTTAAGTACAATCAACCCCCCCTTTCAAAGGGGGGACTGTAAAAGAGCCCTTAAAGGTCAAGTAAAAAGTTTTTCGGTTGAATAATTGACGAAATAATCGAAAGAAAGACTGGATCTTGAGTACAATCAATTTGGAACGCTGGCCAATTTGGAACGCAGAAACCAGCCACTTACGCTTGTTATAAGAACGCAATATATCGCGCCTTACTTATCACAAATTTATGCGGAATATTTATGCTTGGGTCGGTCTTTTTTCATTTAGTCAATTTTCGATTTTAAACAAGCGTTTTCGACAAAACTGTTTTTATATCATCTGAAAGATATTGTTGTCCTGAGCCTAAATTTAAAATTATTTTCATTTATTTAAATTTAAGTTCAGGGCAACAATATCTTTCAGATGATATAAAAAAATTTTGTCGAAAACGTTTGGTTAAAAATCGAAAATTGACTGATTAAAAAAAGACCGGCCCAAGCATAAATATTCCGTTTTCTTTGAAAATTGGAACAATAATAGAATACCGAGTACTAGTGGAATGTGACTCGTAGTCTACTTCTACTTGTTTGGTCCCTCAAGAAAACTGCTTTACATAAATGTTCCCTGGTTATTGTTTGCTAAAATGCGTAGCATGACAATTAGGTTTGATACCTGTAAAGGCCTTGATTACTTAGTGAGTATTGCCACGACTGGTGTGCGATCAAAACGTAGACATGTCATTAAGTTGGCACGTCGTAAGCGAATCAGAATCGAAGTAAGAAAACACACGTACGAAAAATTTTCTGTTCTCAAGTCTGCTTTCGAGTCTGTTCGCGATTGGCTTACGACGTCTCTGCTTTTTGCTATGCATAACCGCCACACCTCTTGGTTGCTTAGATGATTACCCTTATGTTAAGCTAAGTTGTTGCTATCGGGGACTTTTTCTCGTAAAATAACTTTGCTCACAGAATAACTTAGGTAATTACCTCCAAATCTGAACTTTCTCAGACCATAAGTATGTCTTCATTTCAACTGCCCGTTCTGTTCAAAATTTCTTATCTATCTTGGTTGTAAATTTTTTCACGCGTGATTTTGATATTAAGAAGGTATTTAGAAGTTGTTCTCGCAGTATCTAGAAAAATTTTCTGCCTTGTTTGCTTTTCAGATTCATTTTTCAAATTGCCACTTGAAAGTTAATGACTTCATCGAGTTGATGACGATAACGAAGTCACTCCAAATTCTACTTGATAATTCGTTTAAGCTTATTTTAGCTCTTTATTTATTCCCGGGGTTTTTAAGAGTAATGAACGTAGTGAAGACTCTTATATAGGTCTTTGATTTTTTTTTCAGGAAAATTTGTTTAAGCTCAATTTTGATTTTTCGTGGTTTGACTAGCTGTTTCTTTTTAAGGTCAGTGCATTTTCATTGTTAAAAGGAAGGCAAACTCCACTATCGAACAGCAAAAACGTGATCGTCTTCAAATTTCGAAAATGGAAATTAATTATCAGATTTCCCAGCGAAATAAAAGTTTTGCCTATTGATCCAGTTTTCTCAAATCCGGTTAATCTTAACAAAAAAGTGTCCGATATAAATTGTTCTACAAATTCAAAAAGCTTTAAGGCCATCTATTTTTTCTTCGAACTTCAAAAGTTGAAGGCTCTTAAAAAAAGTCAGTTTTTTCTTTCAGTTTCCTTGCGTTCATTACTCTTTTCCAACTGCTAGTTGGCTGAGTTTTTTCAGTATCCAAAAAATTTCAAAAATATTAAATTTTACGACAAATCGAAGATAATATTATTTTGTGAATATTATATTCGGAGTTTTCTGTAGTCTGCGCTATTTGCACAGAAACCTGGTACTCTTATTCTTTCCAGAGCTCAATATGTTGCTGACCGAAATAATTCATGGCCAAAGTAAAGAAAACCTTCGGTGGTATTTAATCAAATCGTGAGCAAATGTTAGATTGTACAAGTGTGGTTAAAGTTAGTCAAAAATTAATATTTCAGTTTGATTTGGCAACTTCAAATTAAATTTCAGAACGTAATTCCGTGATTATATTCGATAAAACTACGAACTTGATAACCACATTGTCGTGAAACTGAACTTAAATGACATTCGTTGAATGTTTGAAAATAAGTCAAATGCCAGAATAAAATATTTTATTGATACTGATTTTATGTGTCTACCAGTAGAGAAATTGAGCAGGAATCAAGGGTGTGTTAGCAGACGAAACTTGATTCAGATATCAAAAGTAGTTTTGAAGCCGTGAAATGTTGATTAGATAAAAGTTATGCTGATGATTGGAGCTTTCTTAGCTTGTAATGAGTTTTAATGAGTTGATAACGTTTTTTTTTTTCAATTTTGATTTTTACTCATACAACGTATAAAGGGACCAATATGGGGATCTAAGTATCCCGTTATATGCCATCTCTAAGTTTCATAATTTGATGATGTTTTATTCTACAGTACGTTTTATCTGAGAAATAAATTCTTTTGTTCTTTCAGGCTCGGCCGAAAACCATGGATTCTCCTTCCCCATTTGTTGGCGCCCATGATTCAATGGCAAACCCCGGAATGAATCCAGACTCAAATCATCAGAATTTCTCGATGTTTGGACACCAGCAACAGAACAGCATGTGCACTTCTCCGAACATAGAACAACCTTTGACCATCATAAACCCCCCTCAGCAACCCCTGCCCCTCTCGCCAGACGACAACTATCCAAACAACCCCAACCACCAACAAAACATATCTGCATCAAACCATCATAATCTCCTGATGCCAGCGCCGCCAACACGCCCGCAAACGCAACAGACGCCAGATAACATGCAACCACACCACAGTAGTCATCAGCAGAATCAAGGTGTGTCGGCACCGCCCGCGAGAAAGATGGGACTGGGAGGCGACCCTGGTCTGGTTCCGGAGGCGGAGTTGTCGAAGATGTGCAAGTATCTGGCGGCCATTACGTCTAATAGACTGGAGAGGTGTGTCGCGTTCTGCCAGCGGATGCCAGGGTTCCAACTGCTGTCCTTGTCAGACAAGGTAATTGATTATAACCTAGTTTTCTTTTTTCTTGGGTTCTTTCTGTATTGAGCAAATAAATAAAGCAAGCATTCATTCAAATACAATATGATTTGTTTGATTGAAATCAGAATTTTCTAAAAATAATGCACTGAAGAAGTAAACCGAAGGAATTATCTCCCATGCAGCATATTTGTCGGTGTAGATTGTAAAGTAACTGCCTTAAATGTAGCTGCCTATAAGCAGTTTATTAATATTATGTTAATTATAGATTAGGAAGGTAGAGTGAATCAGGTTAGATAAAATAAGTTCTTCGTTTTAACTCCAGCTGATTTTACAAACAAATTATGATTGTGTTTCTTTCCATCCGTTGAACTTTTTAAAAAGACGTGAATTTTGAGTGCTGATCTGAAAGCCTGGAAAGCCTGAAGTCCTAGGTCGGTCCTTGTTTCTTTTAGTTTGTTTGAAATGAAAAATGTTTTCCGCGTTAATCTGCTTATTTTTTTGTCGGCTTAGTTTCCAAAGCATGGGTATTTTTTCTGAATTTAATTTTATTTTTGTTCCTTTTTAAAATTATTTAAGAGTCAAGGAACGTGGTAAAACTTTTATATAAAGTCAGGGGCGGATCTAGGAGTTTCTTGAGAGGGAGGGGGGTGGATTTTCAAAGAAACTTCAAAACTTTTGTCGACCTTTTTTTTAGGTCGACCAAATTGATTTTCTGAGCTCTCCCAAAGCACTACAAAGACCCTGTTTTGGCCGAAATTTCTGAGCCGCAAGAAAATTTTTGAATAAACAGGCCGAAAAAGGCGTTTTTAGGCACTTTTTGGAAATTTTTGACCAAAAAATTGCGTTTTTTCGGCGCGCGCTGCCCACTCAAAATTCAAAAATAGTATAGATTGGCGCCTTTAGAAAAATTTTAAGGTCAGTCAGCCAAAAATGGATATCTCGAACAAAATAGTACAAAGGGGGGACCCTTTGGGTCGGCAAGGGGTCGAATCACTGAGAGAGCGTCTGCCAACCCACCCCCCCCCCCCCCCAAATCCACGATCAATTTTGATTTTTCGCGGTTTGGTTTTTTCTTAGAAGGAAGCAAACTCCGCTATCGAACAGCAAAATTGTAAAGGTCACGAAAAACGGGATCTACTTCTAAAGCATGGGTATTTTTTTCTGAATTTAATTTTATTTTTGTTCCTTTTTTAAATTATTTAAGAGTCAAGGACTTTAATTTTTAGAATTCCGAGCGGAATTAAAATTGAACCGTTGATCCTGCTTTTTTCATATTGGGTTATTTTTATCAAAAAAAAGTGTCAGTCTTAAATTTTCGAATTTTGTTTTTCGAAATTCGAAAGCTTTTTTCAAAATCAAGTAGGTTTTGTTCCGTCTCCTTGCATTCATTGACTCTTTTTCAACTCAGTTAGCTACATTTTTCAAAAGAGAATTTTTTCAAGTATCTCTTTTTGACTGCTATTTTCGGCTCATTTTCTATTCGCTAGCTTGAACAATGGTGCGCTTGCGTTGTATCTTAATTGATGCCAAGCTCGTCTCTGCCTCTGTGTGAGTATGTCACCTCTCAGTTAAAATGTTGGTCTTCGCCTTGTGTGGGTAAAAACTTAATACTAGGGTAATAAAACAAATTTTTTCTTCGAAAGTTGAGAAATGTCCAAAAAATCGATCGTTTTTTTTATTTCCTTGAGTTCCTTGACTTTTTTCAACTGTCTTTTGACTATGTTTGAATTTTTTAAAACCATTTGGAACCTTTAATCAGCTTTGATGCTGTAATTTGTTTTAATATTATTCTAAAATTAATTTTGAAAAGTGATTTACGGGTTACCTTTGATACTATCGTGCAACAGTAATTTATGGTAGACGACCCTAAAATTCCAGCGCACGCCACTGCTTTCGAAAACTGATGTTAATCTCAACTAGTAAATTTGCTTTTTTGCTGCAGATGAGTTTGCTGAAGTCGGGTGCGTTCGAGATCTTGCTGCTGCGGAGTAGTATCTTCATGGACTCTTCTATGGACAAGATCAAAGCGGGCTCCTTCACCCTCACCCCCGAGATGTTGATGCGCATCCCCTACTTGCGCCCCTTCGTCTGTCCCTTTTTCCTCTTCATATCCAAGTTCAAATCCCTCAACTGCGACCTCACGGAACTTCTATTACTCATCGGAGTCGTCCTATTCTCTCCTGGTAAGAAATAGTTTCACGTGGTACAACGGATTTCAAAAAAAAGAAAGGGAAAATGTTTTAAACATTTTTACGCTTGTGACTAGCATGCGTTATCAAATCGAAATGTAGAATTTTTTCGGGTCAATTTCTTTTTTATCAGAATTACTTGGTTTCATGGTTCATTTCTTAGTGTCTCCGGTGCACTTAGTCTTGGTTTCGAATCTGACTTTGGCATTTTTTTCAAACGGGAAGTATTCCGTTTAAAAAAAATTTCGCCTATGATTTGTCGGCTTATTTGCCACATATGCGAGTTGTTTTTCTTTTGCTGTACGCAATTTTTATTGTAGTTGCTTTTAGTGTTTTGGTTTACTCCTGCAATTCGTAATTTTACAAACCTTGATTTCGTTGATTGTCTTTTTTTTCGCTTAAAAACGTTATTCGGCCCAATTGATTTCAGGAATTTTTTTATTGGTTTAGTGACCTACTTTTGGGTTGTTTCAAGGGAAATAATTTTCTTGCTCTACCCTAGATTGCACAAATAGAATTTATAGTTCTAAGTTTTTTGGACTTAGTGGCGCTTTGCCTCGATGTGTGATTTTCTTGATGGTTGGTTCCAAAATGGGTACAGTTTATGTGTGCCTTTTTTTAGTTTCCTTATTTGTGTCACTGACTTCCGTGTAAACTCGACTTTGTTGTGACTCAAATGCCAAATTTTTGCCGAAGTTTTTTATCATGAAAAAGTTAAATCTTTTTTCATAACAATTAATTTGAAAGATAAACTATTTTAAGACGAAAATTTTGGTGCCGCATTTTCTCACATTCAGGAAGTCACTAAGGTGCAAATTTTGTAAATTAAAAATGAATTCAAAACGTTCGATCAATAGTTATCAGTTTTGATCATAAATTTACGCAACACCGATTTGCCTAATCAAACATGCATTCTTTTAAAGTCTTATTTTTTGATCTTACATATCTTTTAAAGTACAGTATACTGTATACCCTCAGTATCTACTCAGTTCTGACATAAACAGTGCTGTTTTAAATTATCCGGATAAATCGAACAATGTTTGAAACTTCAAACGCGTTTTGCTCAAATTGGGTTTAGGTTAGACAAAGAGAGAAGATAACAAATGTTTGCTTTGAGTTTCACAAGAATTATTATGGTGCAGTTCATTTTTCGTAATTCGCAACCAAAATTTTATTCCAAAAAGACCGAAACTGTCACCATAATTGATGAGACACTTATATCAAAAGAAGCCTCTTAAACAGCCCAACAAAGTTTTTTTACAAAGTAAAATTTTCAAAAATCTGTATAGGAGTATATTTTTGCCTGATAGCTAAAAAAAGATCATCTTTTTTAATATACAAAACTCAAAATCTTTGCTAAAAAACAATTTTCAAGCATTTTGCGCAAGTTTGTGGAGATTTCATTCTTCTAGAACTTTTTTTGGGCTGTGTAAAAAGCTTCTTTTGATATAAGTTTCTCATAAATAATGTGATAGTTTGAGCGTAATTCTTGATTAACCAAAAAAGTCAAAATGAGCCTTTTTGGGGTAAAATTTTAGTTGCGAATTTCGAGAAATGAATTGCACTGCACCATAATAATTGTAGTGAAATTGTAAGCAACTTTTGTTATATATCTTTTTTTTGTCTAATCTTAACACAATTTGAGAAAAGCGTTGAAATTTTCCAATGTTCGTTTTGTCCGGATAATTTAAATCAGCGCTTATTCAATGCCAATGTTTGCCAATATGGTACCAATATTTAATTGAGTTATACTGACTTTTTGTCGGTTCTGTGCTGGAACTTATTTATGTTTTTAAGTTATCAAGCGTGGGTCATAAAAGAAAAGTGAAACAATACCTCTATTTCAGATCGGCCAGGCGTGCAAAATAAAGAAGCAATTTCAAACATCCAGCAAGTATACGCCGATACTCTTCAAGCTTACCTCTCCACTAAATACTGCCAAGCATTCCTGGAAAACCAGCAGATGGAAAATAGTCGCGCACTCTCCGAGTCAATCGGACAAAACATGCCCCTGATCAAAAACGAAACCCCGAGTCCCAGAGTAACTTGTGGAGCTTCAACGATCCTAGAAAGCGCCCTGGTTTCCCCAAATGGGAATTCAGCCAATCAGAATCAAGCGCCAAAATTATCCAAGCTGACGGCTGCGTTGATAAGTCCAACAGGCGTTGCTATGGGTACGGGATCGTCGGGCATCGCGGGACGAGCGCCTTCAGCGTCGGCTATGATGACACGAAGTCGAACTCGTCTCGGCTCACTGATGATGCAAGTGTGTTCCCTGAGATCTGTCAACTTCGAGCACTCTCAAAGCATTTTGAAGATTGACGTCAAACGCAAAGAAGACATCGGACCGTTTCTTAGAGAGATGCTGGTCGCTTCGAACCCTGCGGCTATTGAATCTCCCGCAACCTCACTGGAAAACAGTGTAGTGAGCACTGGGAATAATCAATACAATGCGAATGAAAATGAACAAGTTACAGAAGAAGATAACGTTACATTGACTGTACTATAATATAAACTTCACGTGAAGTTAAGACCATGTTTCCTGGAAGCAAAATCTGAATAGCTTAGACATTAAGAAACTTAGCAACCAATCTGCTGAGAAGATGATCTGACTCCTGAAAAGATCGATTCAAAATAAATTTTATCTATAAAAATTTAGTTTATTGTTGAATTATACAAATAATAAGTTCCCTCAAATCTATATTTGATAATTTCGTTGTGTTCATTACTCTATATTTCCTCAATTTGGGTTTTTAGTTTGCAAGTTAGTTGCCATATCAGTAATTGAAGTTAGAAGTTGCTGAAGAATGTCATTAAGTGTTTCTGAGCATAGTTAATGTTCGTATTTATGTCGTATTTTTAGGAAAATTTTAAGGAAAACTTTCAGCATTGCTCGCTTACTTTCATTATTTTTCTTTGCTGTTGTGGCTTTTGAAGCTAGATCATGTTTTTCAACTTTTCCGTTCCGACAATAGGAAAATTCAACATGACTGAACAATTCTTCGAAGTTTTGAAATTTGAAAAGCCTTCATCGGAAAGGAAAGCTTTGAAATAATGAAAATTGTTTCCTTGAAAACTCAGCCGTTTTCTGTTAATTGAGTTCAGTAACACTTTTGACTGTGTTTCTTTGATTACAAGTTATTGAATTGAACTTATCCATACTACTATTCCATGAAAATGGATTTGTATTTTATGACTGACTTGAGTATTAGTGATTTTAAACCAGCGCTGAATACGTTGACTGTGAAATTTGTTTTTAAAGCCCAATAAATTTCGAGCAAATCGTTATTTGGTGCTACTTAAATTTTTATGTGAATTCGTCTGTTAATTCGAATTATATCAGCGACATTTATTTTGATGGAACATAGTTGGTTTAACGAGACAATTCAATATTTTTCAAGTATTCTCGCCTCAAAGTTAAGAGAAAAACTTCCGCCTCAAAGTTAAGAGAAAAACTTCTATCTTCGTTTCCCTTTTTCTGATTCAAAGTTGCGAGAAAAAAGAAACGAAGAAAAAGTTTTTTTTCCAAGCAGAGTAACAAAACCAAGTCTGAAATAATTAACAAGACAGCCACTAAGAAAAATCCAATCGCAAAAACCATGGGATAGGTTTTTCGAACTTTTTGGTTCCAACAATTAATTGAAGGGTTATCTCTTCTGGGGTTATCTATTTTTGTTTTTTTTTTCTGCTATACGACTCAAAATTGATCTTAATAAACAATCATTAAGCTCAAATCTGATTGGTTGAAAATAATTCCAGCAAAAAGTGGATTGTCATTCAAAACAGAAACTCAATTAACATTTTCCTAATTTTTGGCCGTTTAACAGAAAAGACTTCTTTCTTAGTGACTACTCGATATGCTGAGCTGAGAGTTGAATGAAAGCCCGTGAGCTTGACAACGTTATGTGACTTGACAATGAATTGAGATTTGAGGTTGAATTAGTAGAACCCGGGTCTAGACTTTGCGTCTGCATTCAATTTGCTAATTGAGTGAGCGATAACTATTCTCGACTTGCTGCTGAAATATGCGTAAATAACTTTGTCCACTGGACTCATTGGACTCCTGAAGAACTTGCTGCATAATGAAATCAAATTTTTCAGTGTCTCTTGCACACTTAGCCTGGTGGTAACGAATACGCCTGTAATGGTAAAGGTCCAGTTTTTGAATCTGACCAGGACCAGTTTTTCAAATGGTAAATATCAGTAAAATTTCGGCCTATCATTTGTCTGCTAATGTTTTGTCGGCTTAGTTGCGACATATAAGAATCGTTTATTTTAGCTGTAAACAATGCTTACTAACAGTTGCGTTTACTATTTCAAAAATCCGGCCGAATTGAAATGTGCTTTTCACATTGCTTGTAATTTTACCAGCTCGATTTGTTATTTTTTCATTTTTCGTCTTTTATTGGCTTATTAAGTTTCGGCTTAATTTAAGTTGTTTTATGGGAGTCTTATTTTGTCGTAAATACCAAAAAAAATTTTGTACCTGGGGGTGTGTGTGCTCTGCGGGAAAAAACACGACTTGACATTTTTATGTTGTTAGAATTTTTATGAAATTTTCTGGCAAGAAGGGTTTCTGCTCAAGTATTTTCGGCTTTTTTTTTCGCTTGGTAATTCAATCAACCATTCGGCGCATCTGGCGTAGAAGTACAACAACAGCTTTAGATGGCAAGGGTTTGGGGTTCGAATCCAACCAGGCCTTTTTTTTGCCAACTACAGTTATTTTGCATTTTCGGACTGGTTTTCTGTCGGCTTGATTACCGTAGATCGATAGTTTAGCTTTATTCCAAGTTGCTGTAACCCCCATGCTTGAGACTACAACGCACGGAAATTCGATTCCAGTTGAGAATCGTTCTTTTTGCTAATAGAATATTTAGGCTAATTTAGATTATTGTCTGTCTGATTTTTTGTCTGCTTATGTTTTGTCGGCTTAGTTGCGACATCTAAGAATCCTTTATTTTAGCTGTAAACAATGCTTGCTACAGTTGCTTTTAGTATTTCAAAAATCCGGCCGAATTGAAATATGCTTTTCACATTGCTTGTAATTTTACCAGCTCGATTTGTTAATGTTTTTTTTTGCCATTTTTTTTTCAGTTTTCGTTTTTTATTGGCTTATTAATTGGCTTATTAAAAGAGTCTTATTTTGTTGTAAAGACCAAAAAAATTTTTGTGCCTGTGTGTGTGTGCTCTGCGGGAAAAAAACGACTTGACATTTTTATGTGGTTAGAATTTTTATGAATTTTTCTGGCAAGAAGAGTTTCTGCTCAAGTATTTTCGGTTTTTTTTTCCGCTTGGTAATCCAATCAACCATTCGGCGCATCTGGCGTAGAGATAAAACAACAGCTTTAGATGGCAAAGGTTAGAGTTATTTTGCATTTTCGGATTGGTGTTCTGTCGGCTTGATTACCGTAGATCGATAGTTTAGCTTTATTTCAAATTGCTGTAACCCCCATGCTTCAGACTACAACGCACGGATATTCGTTTCCAGTTGAGAATCGTTCTTTTTGCAAATATAATATTTAGGCTAATTTAGATTATTGTCTGTTAGGTTTTTTGTCTGCTTAGTTCCTCTGAAAGGACTTTTTGTAAACTTGCTTTATTCATAGCACTCCAAAAGCTCTTTGTAAAGTTTTAAATAGTGCTGGCAGTTTTGTTCAGAACCTTTTAGGATTTTGTTGCAATTTTGGTTTTTTGTTCCAAGTTTTTTTTTAAATTTTTTTGTCGGTTTGATTTTAATCATAGTCATTCATAGTTGTATCGCAAGTGGTGCGAAGCTCAGCTTCGCCTTTGTGTAAGCTTTAACACTTAGCAACAAAACCAACAGAATATGCTTAGTATGTTTCCTTCTTTTTATTGGCATCTACCACTGTAGAAAAAAAAACTTTTTGAAAATTTTTTCATGTTGAATCACAAGCAACCGCGATAACAAAAGGCATTGTTGTTAATTAGACAGAGTAGAAAAGGGAAATATTTTAGTAAGAGGGGGCAATTCATCAACAATTAGTTACCGGAAACTTAACTACTATACAATTTTACGCAAGCAAAAAATTGGGTTTCAAACCAAAGAAAAGTCCTTTTTTTCCAAGCAGAGTGATGACAACGAAAGCAAGTCAGCGACTAAGGAAAATTCAATCGCAAAAGCCATTGGAAAGGGTTTTTGAACTTTTTGATTCAAACTATTTATTGTAGGGTTTTATTATCTTATGGGGTTATCTATTTCTGGGTCTTTTCTGGTATACGGCTCCAAACTTCTTAATAAACAATAGTAATAGACAGTAGAGAAGCAACGTATTTTCAGCTGAAGAGCTCAATTCATCAATAATTAGTTACGGAAACTTAGCTAATATACTTTTTTACGCAAGAAAACACTTGTGTTATAAAAAGTGATCACCTTGTCCAAAGAAAGTCAAACCTTTTTAAGAGTCGATGAGCGTAGTTCAGAATCTTTTATAGGTTGTAATGATTTTTTTTTAGTTCAGAAAAAGTCTCAAGTTCTTTTGGCTCTCTCAATTTGAACAAGGTTTTTGACTTTCATTTTAAACAAGGTTATTAAATTAAATGAAATTTCAAGCTTGATTTAATGGAATAAAATTTGTTTTGTTGACAAAATCAGAAAATTAAAAAAAAAACAATGACAACAATCAGAAGACCTGAATAGAACGACATGAAAAATTTACACCTAAAAACAAAGTCTGTATAAAAAGCAAACCGTAAAAAAACTTTTACTCAAAACACTAGATGACATAGTTTATGAATTTAGCGACGCATAACTCAACGGATCAAATAATCGCAATCTATGGCCGCTAGTTTTGTAAAATTTTGTCGCATTTAGACGAGGTAGAAACCATATATCAAAAATAAATAGAAAAGTGGAAGTGCGCTGTTTTCGATATCTAGAAAACTAAACTCAAAATAGAGGCCTGAATTAGAAACGCTGCAGGAAAAATTCGAAAATCATTGGGCCGAAGTAGTTTTTACAATTATAATGAACAAATCAATTTTGAAAAATTTTCCAAAATTTTTTCGGGGATAGTAAAACAAATTGCTTGAATGGAGATGAAAAATTTTTTTCACCAATAAACGTAATGCCATTTGAACTTTAGGTTAAGGAAAAAATATTACAACCTATTCAATGAATTTATTTAATTTTATAAACAGTGATAGCTCTGAACTTGATACATCAAACAGTTAAACTCTATTGTTGAACAATTTTTTTTTTAAATGGACCATCCTCTTTTCTTGTTTTTCATTAATATAGCAGCTCAAAAAAATTTAAATTGTTCCAAAATAAGATCTCCGATAAAAACGAAAAAACTTTTAAAAAATTATTCAAAAAATACTATAGAAAAACATATAACCTTTTGAAAATATTCCAATTCTTTCTAAAGAAAAGGGTGCGATATCTGCAACTTCTTCACCTCTAAAATCAATTTGTGCTAGAAACGATGAATCAAAAATGAACATAAAATGATTTTATTTTCAACATCAGAAGGTGCTGTGTGCACGACTAGGACTCACAATGGGAGAAAGATCCCGCATCGCCGGATCATAGTTTTCATAAGTTTCATCACGAAACTGAATCAAACAGTCCATTCCCAGTTTACAAAAGATCTGTTCTTCAACATACAAAGTTTGGTAATATTTTCTTTCAATTACCTTCTTAAAGTTTGAGGTTCATCTAGTATTACATTTACCATTTCTTAAAAACTTTTGCCAGCGTTTCATAATTGCCAGCATATCTTTTCTCAGCAGATATTTTCGACAAAGAAAACTTGATCTAAGATTTAGTCAACATAATTGCCTCATATTGTGTCATCTGTCGATCAAACATATACCATCATGAAAATATGAATTTCTTTCTGAAACTGATTTTGATTCATAGATTGAATTTGATTATTCAAAATTTTAAGACTTAATTTT